AGCTGACACTTTTCTTTTTAAACAGCATTCCTGGAAGTCCCACATAACTTAATCACCTGGCGTGGCTGCAAAAGAATGTAATCGTTTATTCTGAGCTATAATTTTGGTTGCTAAAAAGCTGGTGTTCTATTAATACAGAGGAAGGGGAACATGGATCTTGGAACAGGCAGCCAACATTCTCTGCCATAGCAGGGGATGAGAGACCTATGCAAGAGCAGTGGGGTGTGTAGAGAATGTGAGGTGATGGTTATGCTGAGAAAGAAGCTTCAGAATTAGTGATTTTACAGGTGCACATATGGACTTAATTATCTTGTTTTCTTTACCATATTAAGTTTGTTTGGTGCTCCATAAGTGAGTGACTGCATGCCCAGCATGTCCTATTAAGGGGTCTTGCAGACCATTTTTTCCCCCTCCCTTTGGCAATTTCTCCAAGTAAATAAATATTAGAAAATCTCAGCTCTTTTTCATCTTTAGGGAACAAGCCACTCAAGAAATGGTCAGTTTTCAAAATTGCTGAGTAGAACCTGCTACAGATACTTATGGGTATGGAGAAGAGAAACACTTGGTTTTCTGATTTCTGTATGTTTACCAAAACAGATTCTAAGATACAAGAAAAATATTGTTAGACTAAATTTTCTTTTATGCAGCTAACATAGACTAGTGAGTCCAAGAGTTTATTATTTTCACTGTGTTTCACATAGGCTTGATTATAATAGGCTACTATCAGTGTTGTTGGATGAATGATTGAATTATTTCTGAAGCCTGTCTGAGGTAGACTGTGGTGATATTTAGAAGTTAAAGGCAGTCTTTACAATTTAACATAATAAAATGTGCTTCTCAGATAGTAAAAAAGCTATAATCCCTTTAATAATATATAATATACAGATTACGTATTATATAAATATAATATACAGCCACATTAGCTTTATTACTAATTTAAAATTTGAGCTCCTAAGAATACTTTTCAGCAAAAACACAAAAATAGATTCCTTAAAAGCTTTTTAATAAGAACTTAGCCCAAAACACTAAATAAATCTGGTGGGGTTTTGCTGCTTTAAATGGTAAAAAGCAATATTTTATTGTTAGTATTTAAAGGCGACTCCTTACCTTAATTGTAGCACTTTGTCTACTGCAGAATGTGCATGATTTGCCCTACTTATGGTGACTGGATCCTCATCCTCTCAATAGGATCAATATTAAGCCAGTCTTCTTTACCTCCTCGATCCATATTAAACCTGTCTTGGAAAGAGTCCGTTTATTGGATAATATAGCTACACCGGGGCTCTATGACAATATCTTTTGCTGCCTCATTAACTCTCGAGCATTAGAACAAGATAAAAATGCCCTAAAGCCTCTTATCTGATGCCTGGTGTAACCTGCTGAAAGCAGGAGTACCATTAGTTTATGTTAGAAATCAAATGACCCTCTCCAGTGCAGGAAGTACTGATTAAACCTGAAGTGTCTCTGGAGGACTCTACAGCTGCCAGAGGGGTGGTGGCTGTCCCTCACGAAAAGGGAAATCAGGGCCAGAGGTCCCAGTGGGGCGGTGCTTTAGGAACTTGCACGTGGCTGCCCCAGCTGTTCTGCTTTGCCTAATGAATTGTTTTACAAGAAGAGGCTGGGTATTATCATCACAAGCTGCCTTCCTTAGGGACTGGAGCAGGCCAAATAATAAGTAATGTTAGTGATGGTAATTGAAATGTGATGGCTCTCCTGAGATCTTTATGGCCCAGGAGCTGGTTGGCACTTGTGGATTGCCTTGTCCTATCAAGGCCCGATTGCCTTGTCCTAGCAAGTGCCTTATTTTTTCTGTTTTGTAATACTGTTGTATGCATTTTTCTCTTCCATCCCCCATGGAAATTCATTAACAAAAGCTATCTTAGGAACATTACAATGATGTTAACTATAAAAGGAAGAGTTTTAACTTTTTTACTTAAATTATCAACACTATAATCGTAAAGAAGTGGTTTCTGGAGGAAAAGTAAAAACCTTATCTGTTGACTTTATGAGAGGCAACTGCCACCAGCAGTTTCTCCATGGATGCTTCCAGACATTGTCTGTACATAGTAAAGTTTATACACATTACCATACACAGATGCAATCATAATATACATACTGTTTTGTGACTTGTCTATATGACCTCACAACATATCTTGGATACCTTTCCACAGTGGTATACATAGATTGCTTCATTGTTTTCCAAATGGTTCATAGAATTTCACTATATGGATGTACCAATTCAAGACTCTTTGTAGATAGTTTGACTTAGACCTTATAACTGAAGCCTTAGCATACAAACAGGTTGCATCCACTGACTTGCATTTCATGGTTCAAACTCTGATTTTACATGAAGTGATTTTCCTTTCTTCAGGAATGTTATATTTTAGTCCAGTATTGTTTTAAAATAGGAAATGCTGGAGGCAACACTTTTAGGGGAGAGGTAGTATGAGTCTTGTCATGCATCATTAGCTGGACATACATGTAGTGATATGCACTCCACTGTGTGCTTTTAATTTGTTGCTTAGTTAAATGAGAAATATTCTGTCCCAGATAGGTGGGGGAAAACAAATAGCCTTTGATGAGTGTTGTCCAAGACACTGGCGGCTTCCTCTAAAGTTGAATAAGTGTTTTCTCCCCTAATTTTCTACTTCAGAAGTTCCAGGAATCAAGTTTTGAATGCATTAATGGACTTGGGAAATGATTTGTCAGCACGTGGAAATGAGGACTTAGGTTTCTTGTGTAACAGCTTGGCTAACAAAGCCAGTTTGTGCCTCATGAACTTTAAGGGCCATGCTGGGAGTGGCAGTGTAATGAATGAAGCAAAGCAATTTTCCAAGAGCATTTCAGGTCAGTGATGGGAGAAATCAGTTGTCTTCTCAGGCAAACAGAAACTTAATTTTAGTTGCATCTGTCTTAATAATAGAATCTGTATGCAAATTGAATGGTAGAAATTTCACATCTGCCAAAGATGGGAGCATTGCAAGCCTTTTTTTTTTTTTTTTTTTAAACTCAGTGCCCTTTAGTCCTATTCTCAGCACTTGAAAGTTGTGATTTGGCCAAATATTATTGAAGAGATGTCATACTACTAAATTGCAAAATGCAAACTAGTTTTGTTTCAGACTTTTTATACAGTGTTTTTCCTGTCCTTGATGTTAGTCATTTGAATTGATGCCCAATCCTTAATTTAATAATTGGAGGCCATTATTAATAACAATAACTGATTTACTTCTTGTCCAAGCCTTTAGTAGATTCATGGGAAGCAGGTATACAGAGATTTCTTGAGCTGTTCTGGGCTATTAGAGATCCTGTAGACCTAAACTGTTCAAAGCAGTAGCCACTAACTGCATGTGTTTGTTTAAAGTTAAGTAAAAATAAATAAAATTTAAAATCTAATTCCTCAGTAGCCATGTGTAGCAAATGGCTACCATATTGGACAGTACTACTCTAGACCAAAGGTCAGTGAACTATGGCCTGCAGCCTGTTTTTGTGTTCTCCGAGCTGAGACTGTTTTTTACATGTTTATGTTTATGGGGCTGTAAAAGTAAAACAAAAACACAGAACAGAAGAATGTGAAACAGACTGAATGTGGCCCACAAGCCTAACATACTTACTGTCTGGTCCTTTACAGAAAACCTTAGCTCAGTCCTGTACCTATGCTTGGTGACATTTCAGCTTTCTGATCAAATTAGATTAGAACTTTCCATAAGCCATCAGAAGATTAAACCTGTTAAGCAAATAGACAAATTTCAGAGAAAGTTTCTTACTATAGATAGATTATGGAATGAGTCCAGAGTGTACACAAATCAGTTCCCTGAAGCTAGCACAAGTGATGCATTTGAAATAAGAAAATGTAGTGTAAATTATCAATTTCCTACAAGCTTTGTGCATAATACCTATAGTTTAACAAAACATCTTTCTTATTTTGTATGCTGTTTTGTTTCTTCTGTGTTCTATACTCTCCTATCTTACTCTGAGAGAAACAGAATCAGGCTGGGCGCAGTGGCTTATGCCTATAATCCCAGCACTTTGAGAGGCCAAGGTGGGAGGATCACTTGAGCCCAGGAGTTTGAGACCAGCCTGGACAACGTAGAAAGACCCTGTCTCTGCCCAAAAATACCAATAAAATTAGCTAGGTGTGGCGGTGTGCACCTGTGGTCTCAACTATTTGGGGCCAAAGTGGGAGGATCTGTTTGAGCCCCAGAAGTAGAGGCTGCAGTGAGCTGTGATTGGTTCACTGTACGCTAGCCTGGGCAACAGAATGAGAAGCCTCTGTCTCCCACAGCCCACCAAAAAAGCAGATGCAGTTGACCTTTTAACAAAGAATTTACTGTGAGATTTTTTTTTTACTATACAAATTATCATTTTTTTCAAAATTTTAATTGATACATTATAATTGTACATGTTTATGGGGTGCAGTTTGACATTTCAATATATATATGTTGTATAATGATAAAATCAGGGTAGTTAGTATATCTCTTACTTCATGCATTTATCATTTCTTTGTGGTGAGAACATTCAAAAGCCTCTCTTCCAGCTATTTTATAATATATGATACCTTACTGTTAATCGTAGTTGCCCTGCTGTGCAACAGAACACCAGAACTCCTGTATAATTATAATTTTGTGCCCATTGACCAGCCTTTCCTCATCCTCTTGCCCTGCCCTCTTCTCTCCCCAAAATTTGGTAACCACTCTTTCTTACAAGATTCCACATATGAGTGAGATCATGGCAGTATTTGTCTTTCTGTGTATGGCTTATTTCACTTAACATAATCCCCTCCGGGTTCATCCATGTTGTCACACATGACAGAGTTTTATTCTTCAATTTTTTTTTTTAAGACAAGGGTTTGCTCTGGCACCCAGGCTGGTGTGCAGTGGTACAAACGTGGCTCACTGCAGGTTTTTTTTTTTTCTTTCTCACAGCTGCACCCTCCCCTCACTGCAGTTTCGACCCTGGCCTCAAGGGATTATCCTGCCTCAGCCTCTGGCTAGTGGGCCTAGTGGTTTTTGACAAGGACACCAAGATCATTCAATGGTGGGAAGTAGTCTCTTTCAACAACTGGTGCTGGGAAACGATATCCACATGAGGCTGGGTGCGGTGGCTCACGCCTGTAAGTCCAGCACTTTGGGAGGCTGAAGTGGGTGAATCACCTGTGGTCAAGAGTTTGAGACCAGCCTGACCAACATGATGAAACCTCGTCTCTACTAAAAATACAAAATTAGCTGGGCATAGTGGCACACGCCTGTAATCCCAGCTACTCAGGAGGCTGAGGCAGGAGAATCTCTTGGACCCCTGAAGCGGAGATTGCAGTGATCTAAGATCGTACCATTGCACTCCAACCTGGGCAACAAGCGGGAAACTCCATCTCAAACAAACAAAATATCCGCATAAAAAAAATAAAATTGGATCCTCTACCTTGTATCATATAAAAAATTAACTCAAAATGGATCATGGACCTAAATATAAGAGCTAAAAACATAGAATATAGCCATAAATCATGACCTGGAATTTGACAGTAGTTTCCTAGATACATCAAAAGAACAAGCTCCATTAAAATTAAACACTTCTGTGCATCAGAGACACCATCAAGAAAGTACTTGGGTAGGCTGGGTACAGTGACTTATTCCTGAAATCCCAACACTTTGGGAGACTTAAGCAGGTGGATCACTTGAGCACAGGAGTTTGAGACCAGCCTGGGCAACATAGCAAAACGCTGTCTCAAAAAAGAATAGACATTTCCCCAAAGAAAATATATAAATTGCCAGTAAACATACGAAAAGATGTTTAGCATATTAGTCATTAGGGAAATTTAAATAAAAACCATAATGAGATGTTAGAAGTGTTGTTGATGATGTGGCGAAATTGGAGCCCTTGTGCACTGTTGGTAGGAATGCAATATGGTACAGCCACTGTGGAAAACATTATGGCGGTTCCTTGAAAAATTAAAAGTAGAATTACCATATGATCCATTAATTCCACTTCTGAATATATAACCAAAAGAATTGAAAGCAGGAATTTAAAGAGATGTTTGTACACCTGTCTTTATAGTAGCATTATTCACAATAGCTGAAAGGTGGAAGCAACCCAAATGTTCATTGACAGGTGAATGGATAAACCAAATGTAGTAGATACATACAATGGAGCATTATTCAGCCTTTAAAAGGGAAGGAATATCTGACACACAGCCTTGTGGACATTATGCTAAGCGAAATAAGCCAGTCACAAAAAGACAAAACACTACGTAATTCCACGTACGTGAGGTAGTTAGAGTAGTCAGATTCATAAAGATAGAAAGTAGGATGGGGGCTGGGAGGAATGGGGAAGTTGTTGTTTAATGAGTACAGCGTTTCAGTTTTGCCAGCTGAAAAAATTCTGGAGACTGGTTGCACAGTGATGGAAACACACTTAATGCCACACTGAAGTGTACACTTAAAAATGGTTGAGATGGTAGATGTTATGTATATTTCACAGTTTTAAAGTGGATGAAGGTAGCTTTTATGCTATGTGAATTATATCTCAGGTTTTAAAAAGTTATATAGGAAAAGAAGAAAAAAGAAAATAAAACCTATCTAGGAAGCCCACAAGGTTTTGACGAACTCTATTGTAGGCCTGCTCCTAATCAACGGCCTTTTTTTTTTTTTTTTTTTTTTTTAATGTGTAGTGATTTTTTTATTCTACTTTCCTCAATTTGTAAATAAATCCTTCTACCTCTGTTCTTCCCTTTATTCTTTCCCAAAATAGATTGGAAATAATCTCCTGATCTTCCTCAGTACTTATGTTAACATCGGGGACCCTACTAAAGGTTCACATCCATTTCTTAGGATTTGGATACTATCATAATAAGTAAATATTTATTATGTAAAACAATACGCTAGACCCTGAGTGTCAAAAATACGTAAGCTCTTCTCATGGCACTTATAATCTGACTAGAGAGACAGGCATATGTATAAAAAGTTTGATCACAGTACAAGACAGCATGTACTGAGAGCCACCTGGGGAGCATAGAGGTTGACAGAAATGGGAGATCACAGTAGGCTAAAGGTTTTTGGGAAAAATCTTATTTTAAAAAAGTGAAATATAAACTGGAACAAGAAAACAAATCCTACATGTCAACAGTGGCAAATTGGTTTCCTTCTCACTGTACGATTCCATGTAAAATGTATTTTATTTTATTTTATTATTATTATTATTATTTTTTTTTTTTTTGAGACGGAGTTTCGCTCTTGTTACCCAGGCTGGAGCGCAATGGCGCGATCTCGGCTCACCGCAACCTCCGCCTCCTGGGTTCAGGCAATTCTCCTGCCTCAGCCTCCTGAGTAGCTGGGATTACAGGCATGCGCCACCACGCCCAGCTAATTTTTTTGTATTTTTAGTAGAGACGGGGTTTCACCATGCTGACCAGGATGGTCTCGATCTCTTGACCTCGTGATCCACCCTCCTTGGCCTCACAAAGTGCTGGGATTACAGGCTTGAGCCACCGCGCCCGGCAAAATGTATTTTATATAGCAGTTGCTATTTGATTAACCTGCAAAAATTATTTTTTTTTCATATTCATTTTCCTTGTTGCTATCCTAGTTTGTTAGTACAGTTCAAAAAAAAAAGAGCTTGATTGTCTATTCCTCCACATATAGATCAGTCTGTTAAGGGGGCGAAGTAACTTTACATCATAATTTGGCCACCATGCAATAGACTGTCTAGCTTTACCCTGCTAAGCCTATAAGTGGCAACAGAGATAAGAAAGCCACCATCAAGCGTCCCTGGCCTAGGATGAATCTGACCTGCACCTTGACAATGATTTTGATTATTTCTGCTTTCTATGCTGAATGGATTTACTACCTATCAGAGTTACAAAAACCCTTAATTTTAAAAATATTTTGGAGTTTTTCTTGTCTTTTGCATGTTAAATGTTAGCTTCCTCTGACATACAGTGGTGATTTCTGAATTTTCAGTGGGCACCACTCGTTGTTGAAGCACTGAAATAGTTGGTTACTATTGCAGCTAATTCTTATTTAAATGAACAAGAGTTCTTTGGAAAGATTAGGCAGAACAGTTTTAAAAATTCACAGCAACACTGATGTATATCAGTTTTGGCTTGGCAGACTTTGACCCAGGGCTGTGCAGTGTTTTATAACCGTCAGCTACATAAGGACACATACTTATAGCATTGCTTTTGTAGCAGATATTTTTATAACTCTACAAAATGATTAGACTGACGTAAAGCAATTCTCTAAATTCATAGGTATTAAAATATTCTGGCAGCTGTCTCCTTTTTGCCTTTAAGTTGAGACATCATGATGAGATAAGACTGTAGTAGGCCTGATCGGTACATGAATGAGGTTAGGCATGGTGTTCTCACATTATTGACAAAGGTCTTTGTTACTATAAATAGGAGAAATCTTGGGGGAGGGGTTGCCGTTATAGTAATTCCTATTCAATTCCAGAAATATTCTTGTTTTTCGTAAACCTTTTTACTTCAAAATACATTCCATGCAATCAGATAAAAATGATATAAAAATGCCTTTGAATTATAACTAAAATAATTTAGCTTGTAGCTGAAATAGATAATATCTTTATCTGGGAGTCTGATGTATTGATTAGGGTTAGAGAGTGTTTAGAAGAACCTGGATGAGAGAAACCTGCTGGTAAATTGGCTCTAGGATACAGTGATATGGGATACAGACTCTTCTCTTTGCAAAATAGGCTTCTACCAACCCCTGGATTCCAGATCATAGTCCTCAAGAGGGACCGAGAGTCTGCAAAGGTCTCATGTTATGATCTTAGCAGCTCTCTAACCTCTCTTTCCCTAAGTGCTTCTTACTGCTTTCAAGTGTCTCAAATTCTTTTAACTGGGAATAATTTATAGTTAAAAGATTGTCTCCTTGCTGAGAAATAGGGGTCTTTAAATGGCAAGTGATTATCAGAACAACCATTTTGGAAAACCCTTAGGCAGTATCTACTAAAACTGATCATACCTCTACCCTGTGCCTCAGTAATTTTTATGCTATATACCGTAGAAATAGGTATGCATACATTTGTGTGCCAAAAGATAAAGATACATACAAAAATGTTCAGAGCAGGACTATTTATAATTGACCCAAACTAGAAACAACCCCAAATCACTTGGCGGTAGAATGAATAAATAATACAATAATTTATTATACGAGAATGTAATAGAGTACTGTATAACCATGAAAATGAACCAGCTGTTGCTACAGGCAACAACATGAATGAATCTCAGGAATATATATAACATTGAATGAATGAAGCTAGACACAAAAGAGTATATATAGTACAGTTTCATTTATATAAAGTTCAGAAACAAGTGAAACTAATCCATGGTGATACAAATACAAAAATGGTTGCATTGGGGCCATGATGATGGGTGGGAGGGGGCCTGAGGAGGGAGGCTTCTGCAGTGCTGGTAGTGATTCTCTTTGTATCTATATGTGGTTGTTACACAGTGTACTTATGATTTGTACATTTTTCTTTTCATATGTTATACTTTTTAAAATTAACTCAAAATATGTAAAGACAAATAGTGACTGAGATAAAAATAAAAAGGAATATACTCGAAAGGCTCATAGCCAGTCTGACCTTAAGTTGAAATGATAGCACTTAAAGCCTTTCTGGTTTGATATGGGAAACTCATGAAAAAAAGGTTTTGAGCATCAGTAGTTTTCCAGCCAGTTAGGAAAAGCAGATTTTAAAGATGAAGGAAACTAACTCCCCTGCCTCCCTGCTCCGAGCTTCAGATTTCTAAATATTTCTTGAGCAGACCTTATATAATGGGATAAGAGTAACTGGAATTGTTTTCTAAGGTATTTTTGTCATGGGCAGCTATGAATATATACAACCTTTTCTGTCTTAAAGGTTTGATTTTTAACATAAACATCCTTAAAATGCAGTTTTTATACCCAGAGAGTCATTAAATGAGGTCACTGGAATAGAAAGGATGGTGATGAATGTGATTCAGTAGATGGCAGTATTCCCTTTGAAGATTTTAGTTAAAATGTGGGTATATTGTTAGAAACTTTTTTCTTTGGGAATGAAGAAAAGTCACACACTAGGATAAGTAGACCAGAAAGAACATTTTATTATTTTTGTCCATTTGTTGCATTACTATTGTGAATGAAGCAATAATAACAACATA